TTGGGTCCTCTTTAAGCTGTTCCTTTCTATGGTCAAATCCTGCTAAGTCCTAGAGATTGGATCTCACAGAGCTTCTCAGCTCTGGTCTCAACCACCATCCTGTCCTAGAGTGAGTCTTCATCCTACCTACACTAGACATTGGCGATGACTTCACTGACCAGTTTCCCCCACTCTAATTTGTCAGATTCCATATGATCAATCAGTTCTCTTAAAAATATGTTTGACTATGGCACTGACTTACTAAATATTCCTGAATGCTTCTTTTAGTTATCTCTGCTTTGATTCCAAAGTCTCCTAGCCCTTGGCAGTGATGTCTCAGACTGCTCTTGTCATTCGTTTCCCATTATTCTCCTTCAGGGGTTTGCTGCTGCATCCAAACTGAATCAGACACTTCCCCAGACACACCTGTGCACTGGGCCTCCATTCACATGGTTACCACTTCCCACAATGCCCTCTTTCCATCCAGCTGGCTTCAGTTCTAGCCATCCTCGATATCTGGGGCCTCTCCTGCTCTTCCTTTAGATACTTGTATGATATGTCTCCAAGGGCTCCTACATCACTCTGCTTAGTCACTGTAACCATTTTTGTACTTGTCTTATCAATCCGGAAGACTGAGCTTCTTGGAACCAAAGATGTCACAGTGTGGTGAGATGAGAAGTCAGGAGCAGCTGGGGTAAAAAACTGGTTTTTTGTTTGGTTTTTTGTTTGTTTCACCATTTAACTATTGGGTGGATTTAGTTAAGTTACTTAACCTCTCTGAATAACCATTTCCTCTTCTGTAAAATGGAGATAACATAAAATCTTGTGATTATGGGAAGACTGACTTAATGTATGAAAGATATTTGATAATTTTATGGCATGTGCTAGTTGTACCACATTTATTTTTGTTTCATCTGTGCATTTGACCCCATCCTTGGTAGATGTTCAGTAAAATCTTTAGACATTGAATTGGGTTTGTTGAATTGAAAACGTAAGAAGTCAGTATGGGAGTTTCATCACTGTCCAGATCAGTTAGCCTCATTTTAAAGAAAAACTCTGTTTCATGGTCACAAGTTCTAATATCAACCTGCTTTTTCACAATTGTGTGATGCTGGCCCTGGTTAAGCCACATACAGCGTATGAGTGAGTATATGTGTGTGTGAAAATAGCCCAGAGCAAACCTGTCAGGGCTACCTTGGGATAAGGCAAATTAGGATTTATATATTCAAATACTTATCCCTATCAGTAACCAGCACATTGCATTTCTTATCCTAAGTGGATTAATTCTGTAATCCTCACACGTCCTCAATGAGAAGGCAATTTAACCAACATTATCGTATTGGTTGTATAGAGAAAGCCAGGGAGAAAACCCACAAAGAGGATGTTCCCGAACAAAATGGTGCACTATAAACTGACACTGAATATACCAACTGCATGGAGGGTGCTTGCAGTGACATATTTGCCCTGTCGAAAGTCCAGCATATTGTTGAAGTGATATCTAGTGATGTTTTTACCTTTTTTCTCTCTCTCTTATCGAAATCTCCAGAGCCACTGAAAGCTACCATCAGTCCCCGGAAGGTTAAAAGCAGCGTGGGGAGCCAGGTTTCCCTGTCCTGCAGCGTGACAGGATCTGAGGACCAGGAACTCTCCTGGTACCGCAATGGTGAAATCCTCAACCCTGGAAAAAATGTGAGGATCACAGGGATCAACCACGAAAACCTTATAATGGATCACATGGTCAAAAGTGACGGGGGCGCGTACCAGTGCTTTGTGCGCAAGGACAAGCTGTCCGCTCAAGACTATGTGCAGGTGGTCCTTGAAGGTCAGTGGGCCTCGTTATAGGGTACGGCTGACAAAGAACCCAAACCCAGAGCACTCAGAAAAGAAGAATAAAGAGCGAAGCAGTCCTGATAACCCTGGTGTCGGGTCTCAATCTCACCCTCATTTTTTAAGCTAAATCAGGCAAATAAGGGAGAAAGTTCTGATGAGAGTGAAATTGTATTATATGAGAAGTAACATAAACATTGCCCACTCATGTGTTTAAAGTTGCTTGTCAAGATATAAACCTCAGAAACTCAAAACTTATAGTTTTATTGACAATTCGCTAACTTCTAGAGTAGGGTTTCTCAATAACACCTTGTTTTGGGGGCTATTTTATGCAGTGTTGGATGTTTTGCAGCACCTCTGGCCTCTATGCACTAGAGGCAGGCTAGTAGCACCCTGCTCCCAGTTATGTCAACCAAAAACATCTTTGGACCTTACCAGCTGTTCCCTGGGTGGGGTGGGAGGAATAGCCACCAGTGGAGAAATACAACTTTAGAGAATAAGCGCAGAGCAAAATTTCAGTATAGTGCCTGGTGGAGTGAAAAGATGGCATCTGGTTGATACAGTTGTGTGTAGTTGGGTCCAAATGTTCACAGATTTGAGCGAATGGTATTTGTGAAGAATTACTTTGTGGTACAATAACAGGTTTTAGATATGTTATACTGTTTGCTTTTCTTAACTGCTTACTGCATACTAACATCTTCAAGCATATCAATCAGCCAGGGAAAGAAGCTATCACAGGTAACATTTAAATAAGACATATATTTATCACCAGATAATTAACTACCTTCTGTGTATTTGTGTGGATTTTTGGAAATTATGTCTTTATATATAATTTAAAATTCATCTGTTATCAATTGATTAAAATAATTAAATGATTTTCAGATAGCCTAAATGGAGAGCAAATAAAATTCATTAATATATGAAAATAAGTTTAAATAGGTCTTGATGTTAAGATGATATTTCTGTTATTTTTTTTAACCTTAGCTAATTTATAAGCAGTAGCAGGCTTAGCAAGAGATTCCTGTTTTGATTCAAGGATTTCATTGCAGACAGTGAGGGTTTTTTAAAGCAGAGGTGAAATTAGCTGAAGGCATGGTACTCATATTAAATGCCTGACACCGTGTTCCACAGTATAATTAAGTGTAGAAAGTAATCAATTTGTACAGAGTCAGTTTGCTAATGATGATACACCCTCTAGTCCTTACATAGTCGCTATTTTTAGATTCTTTGTAGGAAAAGGAGAGATTACCTGTCTAGGCCTAGTTACCTCGGCAACCATCTCTTGTGACTAAGAAAACCTAAAAAGCATATTGATAATCCATAATGATGCTGAAAGAGTTCAGGTTATCAGAGTGACAGCAAGAAAGATTTCAAAGACACTCAGGTCTCCCCGGGAAAATAATGTCTGCTTTCATCTCCAAAAAAGCCTGTCATTGGAACAAGAAAACGGGGCAGAGGAGCATACTGAACATACTCACGGATTTATTTGCCACATGTCAGTTTCCATTCAGGACGAGAAGCTTCACTTTATTTTTTCTCTTCTGAGAGATGACAGTGCTAATGTAGCAAAAGAGAGCAGAAATGGAATTACAAATACATATCTAGTACCTGCTTTAAAGTGGCATCTAGCTAGTTTCCTCTGAGAAGAACCTTCCATTATTCTCACTCAAATAGCTATGGATTAACCTACGATTATAAAAATTCACAAGACTATGAACTAGAAATGAGCACTGATATAATGGAGAATCTGGGAGTATGTCCTATGAGGCTAAAAAATGGAATCTAATAATTATAGGTTCAGAATAAACCATAATACCTTGGAAAATGAAATAATAAACTAGAATAATAACAGTCTCTAGTTCTAGAAATGGTAAAATAGCATGTATCAGACTAAATCCCAGGCTGATAAAAACTACAAACTTTGGAAAAAGCAAAACTGTATGTAGACACTAGAGAGACACCAAAAGTAGGCAGAAAGGATTTGAAAGAAAGGAAAAGGATTAGATGACATCTACACTGATACCACTTTCCCCCCGAGGACATTCCCCAGTCCATGAGGTGAAGGGGAAAAAGAATAAAAGTGGAGAGATGCAGTCTTACAAGATCGAAGTAACAGAGGACAGAGATCTAGTCTCCCAAAACACATGCAAATTGAGGGATTGGGGCAGAAATTCCAGGAAAGAAGGAATAGCAGTAGCAAGTCCACAAACCTATAAATAAACCTCCTTGGAAAACTTGGTTGACACCTGAACTGTAAAAATGTGGGGGAGAATCCAAGTCTACAATAAAAAATAACTAGACATACGAAAAAACAGGACACTGCGACCAAAGGACAAGAGACAAAACAGGTGACAGAAACAGAACACAAGAGGACCCAGATGTCAGAATTTGCAGACAAGGACTTTAAAGCTGCTATTTCAAATATGTTTAATAACTTAAAGAAAAATGTGGACATAATGAGTGGACATATGGGAAAGACCAACAGAGAAATGGAAAGTATAAAAAGGCATCAATAGAAATGAAAACTTCACTCTATTTGCTTTAATACAAGATTAGAGAAGGAGGAAGAAAGGATCAGTGGACTTGAAGATAGATTAAAAGAAATCATCCAATCTGAAGCGTGGAGAGAAAAAAGGCTGCAAAGAAAATTATTAGAGCCTCAGTGACAAGTGGGACATTGTCAGATGGCCTGACATACATATGATTATGTATTATTTCTCCCAGGAAAATAGGAGACAGGAGTGGAGAAGAAACAAGTGTTTAAAGAGATAATGGCCTTAATTTTTTCAAATTTGATATAAAAAATAAAGTTGCAGAGCCAGAAAAATCAGCAAAACCCAAAAATAAATACAAAGGAAATTACATGTGAGCACACCAAGTCAAGCT